GAAGGGAAGACAGGCAGGGGTGTTGTGAGGTTGCAGGAGGGGAAAGGGTCTTCTTCTCTGGGTCCATCATCATCCATGTGGTAGTATTTTCAGAGCTGGAGACTTAGGGATGGGGACAGAACCCTTCAGAGGACAGAACCAGCCAAGGAGGCACCTGTGTTATCCTAAACACCGGGCCTTCCAGGCAGCTATGTTTGGTGAGGAAATAGAGGCAGGTTTGTATTGGGGCTTCTCGGAGGACCAGACCAGGGCTTTCATATGTGGCTTTCAAAGAAATTTATTCATCAAACCCAGTGTGATTTTGCCTGTCCCCTGGGCTCCCCTCCACATTTGTCAAACAGCCATTTGTCCCCACTTTTGTCTGGCCTCCAGAGAGCTTTGTGACTGATTTGAATAAAAACACCAGGGCAGTCCTACGCATGGCATTGAAGACTTGCTTGCCTCTCCCTGTGAGAACAGGGAAGGGGGAGGGGCAGACAGGACTGTGGGAGCCTCCTTTTCCCTCAGTGGTTGCCAGCAGGTGCCACCTCCTTCTCTCCACAAAGTCACTCACCCTGTGCTAATGTCCAAGGAAACCTGTGGGGTTCAAGTCCTCCCAGCATCTCTCAGGGCCATGGGCTAAGAAGGAGAAGGAGGCAGCCACCCATGTGAGGGGCCCCATTTCTGCCTGGGGGACTGGTGCTCAGCCTGGGTAAGACTCTGGATTCCATATTCCAGCTCAAGAGTGCACATGGCTGCCAACCACTCAGAGGACTGCGTAGCCTTGTCTGATCTTGCAGGAGGCACGTTTCCATGTAAGGAGGCAGGGATTGACCCAATGAGCAACTATCATGTGCATGCTGGGCTCCAATCCACATGGGTCAGCCTAGGAGACCTGGTCAGTGGTGGGCCTCACTTCAAAGAGGCTGTCTGCCAGCTGGAGGGCACTAAAACTGCTGTGGGATCTTGAAACCAGTTCATTAAAAGAAGCACACTGTTTAGCCTGGAGAAGCACAGACTCCTGGGGGACCAGATCACACTCTTCAAAGGGGCGAGGCCAAAATCAGAGAGGGAATGGAGGAGAGCAAAGGGTTATTCACATATATGTATGTGGAGTAGCCATAGGCTTCTGGATTCTCAGAGCTGAATGGACCTCCAAGGCCAGCCCCCACTGAATGTTCAATAAAGGGAAGTTTGCTGCATATATTCAGATGTTTACGTTTTTTCAGCTTTTCTGAATCTATATGTAGTTATTCACATACTATACACACTAGCTTAAAGTGATCTAGCTTTAAAGTAGATCACTCTTAGCAGCAAGTGTCTGTAGAGAAGTCCCATCAGAGGGGAAAAGCTTAACCCATCACCAACAGAACCACTTCAAACACCATATCCCAAACCAGGACACCACTCCATCTTGCCATTCACAGAAACTGCAGGGTTTTTGTTGGCCGGTCTGCCAGCCAGCACACTGAGTGGCTGACCACATGACAGGGTCCCCAGAACCAGCACAGGAGGCTGGTCAGGGCTTCACTGCAGCCCCAAATGGCAGAGCCAGGAGCCTGGGCAAAGAGAGACGGTAGGCTCAGTGTGGGGTGTTCAATTCTATCTGTTGTGGCCACTGAACCATGGGACAGCGTACTTCTGGTGGTAGTGAGCTTCCTGTCTGTCTCAGTGGTGGTGGGAGGTGTGCTCATGAAAAAGAGGATGTATCCTCAGCAAGGAGGTACCCAAGTAGGGCATGCATATTCACTTCCTGAAGCATCTCTTTTCAGTTAGCATATCGGATCACATGCCTCTTGGATGGAATTGCTAGCCACATGGACAGGGGGCCCCCAAGAGGCCCAGTATCCCAAGCCCCCCTGCAACCTGAGTGTCTGCGGGACTCTAAGATCCCAGGCTTTGGGCAGTGGCTTGTGGAGCTTTGAGCAGTGTTTGATTTCAATGGTGGAAGAAGCAACGCTTCTGGTGCCACAGGCTGGAATGCAAACGTGAAGGCCAGGTACCTTCCACCATGGATTTGCAGACAACATCTTAGGTGGACCACTAAGATGGAAGGAATTCAGAGCCTGTCAAGTGTTTGAAATCACATCACCTCATTGGGTTGTATCAGGCCCCTTATGAAGAAAGAGGTGATCTCTGCTCATGATTTGACTTGCTCATCGTCTGGTCTACACCCCCTGTCCTCTAAGAATGCAAGCTTTAGGAAGACAGGGCTTTTCTTTCCTTGTCCCCTGTGTAAGATCGCTAAAATCAAGACAGCATCTGCTATATAGCAGGTGCCCAATACATGTTTGCAGTTGCTCGGAGGACAATGGGGGCATGAAAAGTGAAGGTGATGGTGAGTGATGGAGCTGGGGATGGGCCCTTTGGACTCAGCTGTGATGCCATCCACCTGTTCATCAATTCTCAATATCTTCCCACTAACCCTTAGGGAGAAGGATGCCCAAAAAGGCTCAGGCACTAGCAGAGAGCCATGTCCAAGACTGATGAGGGTGAATTCAAGGCAGATGGGCTCCATGGCTGCCGGCCCCTCCCTCTCCGCATTGCAATCCGCAAGGGCAGCCAAAATTCTAGTCTTCATCAAATATATGTAATATAAAAGTATGAATGGATGGGTGCATGGCTATAGGAACCTTATGCTGAGGCTGCCATATTAGCACTCAGGCCCCAGAACTGGAGTTCAAGATTCTAGAATCAAAGTGAGTCAGTTATGGGCCAACTCACAGAGTTTCACCAAGAAACAGTTTAGCCACAAAGGGATTTAGCTTCTTTGTAAGCCAATGCGGGTGTGAAAAATGTCTGTGTGTCAGTTTGCATGTGTGTGTGAGCATGTATATATCCATTAAGTGTGTGCACCCTTGCAAAGGAGTGTGTGTGCGTGTTTGTGCATATGAGATTGCGTGTGGGTATTTGAATGTGATGGTGTGACAGAGTGTGCACGTGTGCAACTGTGTGTGTGAGTGCTTGGCTGCAGAATGTGAATTTCCTCTGTACTATTTTCCTGGTACACACCCAATCTCTATCCCTTTCTTTTCCTTTCTTCTCGGAAATCCATTACTGAAAGGTTTTTTCTACCCGCCTCCAGGGGGAGGGGGGCTGGGGGAAGGGGAAGCTAAAATCACAAGGCCCAGATCAAAACACTCAGCAGCTAAATGAATTCGGCAGCGTTTTCCCGCATGACTTGGAGGGATAATTTAGTGAGGCCGCCAGCTGGAAGGAAAGGGATTAATTCTGCACTTAGCACAGCTCCGGTGAATAATTCATCATGAAGACCTTTGTGCCTAGCCCCTGGGCAACTGGGGAAGTGTCCCGTCCACCTGCCTGTTGCCTGCCTGGGTCCCCCAGTGGCCTGACCAGGGGCACTTGATGCTCCTTTCGGTCCTCAGGACACATGCGCCCAGTGAAGGGACAGGAGGCAGGGCGAGGTGAGGAAGGGACAGGCAGTGGCCAATGACAGACTCTAGACCCCCAGAAGAGGCTGTGGAGTGCCTGAGCTCCAATCTGGGAAATCTGTGACATTTTCTTCAAGGACCGTTCTTCTTTTCTGGGGTCTTTCACTGCTTCTGTGTCTTCCCCTCTCAGTAGCTTCCTGGTCCTGCACATGGTTTGGTGGCGGTGTTGGTGGGAGATATCAGGCTGTATCTAACAAACTCTCTTTCACCAGGAATTAGTGGAATTAGAAGACAATGCAGAACATCCCAGAAGGGGAAGTGCTAATGGGCAGTCCCAGGTACTCACCAGAGGCCTTATAGGGACACAATTGCAGGTGGCTGCATTCCCAGATTATACATCTTACCCCTCTCCACAGATTTCCTGTGTTCTCCATGGGCAAGGTCACAGGGCCAAGTATTACCCCAGGGCTGCTGGCTATTTTTCCTGGTATGGGAAGCTAGCAGGAGTGGGCTGTCCCAGACATCAGCCCCTGCCAGCATTTCCTGGGTTCGAGGTCCTGAGCTGCCCGTATCCTGGCTTCGTGCCTGTCCCAGCACCACAGACCAAAAAGTGGAAGAATTCTAGCAGGTAGGTGCCTGCCAGGTGCATGGGCGCCAAATGACCAGGGTCCAGCCTGGACTTGGAGTCCAGGGAGAGCTGGCTGGAGGACGAGATCCCATCCTTTAGGCAGGGCTCAGCCGACGGTATCTTTCCACTTGGATCAACCAGGCAGGCAGGATTCCAAAAATGGGCCCTCGAGATTCCACACCGAATCACCGGGACCCATGCCTATGATGAGCTATGACCCCTGTGATTATGTTACATGGCACAGTTGACCTTAAGATGGGGACATTATCAGAGTGGGCCTGTCCTAATCACACGAGCCCCTTTAAAAGCAGAGGGTTTTCTCTTGCTGCTGACAAAGGAGAAAGCCAGGGAGTTTAGAAGTGAAAGGGGGTTTTGACATGCCTGCTGGCTTAAAGATGGCGGCGGCCATTGTGAGAAGAAATGCAGATGGCCTTCAGCAGCTGAGAGGCCCCTTGGGATGTAGCCAGCCAAGAAACAGGGACTTTGGTCCTACCACTGCAGCAAACTGGATTCTGCAGACCACCTAGATGAGCTGGGGAGCACATTCTTCCCCAGAGCTTCCAGAACATTATGGGACCTTGCCAACATCTTGATTTCACCTATGCTGTGTCAGACTGCCTACCCATAGAAACCTGAGCTCATAAATGGGTGCTTTCTTAAGGTGGCAGTTTGTTCCGCAGCAACAGAAGCTGAAATAGTTCACCCTGGTAGAAACTTGATCCCAATGAGCGCGGCTTGGCTTGGGCTGGGTTAGAGGCTGACTCCCAGGTCTGGGTGGCCCTCTGCTCTCAATGCTCTTCTTCCTAATCTCAGCTTTCAATCTTGTTTTCTAGAGCCTCAAATCCCCCTCAGATATTTCTATTCAAAGCAGCTGTCTCCTCCTCGAAGAAGCCCCTGGCCCTAGCCCCTGAACAAGGCCAGCAGTTGTGAAGGAGGTCGGAACCCACCATGGGTTCCAGCCATGTGCCAGCCCCTGACCTTCCCACGCCCCGCAGCCTTACCTCGGAGGAAAGCAGCTGGAAGGAGATATCCACTGTAGGGGCTTCACCATTTATGGTTTTCAGCTTGGTGTCCTAGGGAGGAGAGGGGAGCAGTTAGCCCATGCTGGCCAAGACAGCTTCTGCCTCTGCTCTGCCCAGTGCCCCAGACTGGCCGAGAAGGCGCCTGCTAGGGGCTCTGCCTGGGGACTGAGAGGGTGGTGGGAGCTGGTCCCCTGCCTCTGCTCACCCTCACCACCTCAAACCTACCTTCCCAACTTCACTGAAGACCTGACTGACACTTCCAGACCTGTTTCCTGGCAGAGTAGGGAAACCCCATTTATTGAGGATTATTATGTCAGAGTGGCCAGAAGTATTGTAGGGGAAAAGGTGGCGTAGAAATAAAAAATGATGTAATCATGTGTTAATTCTTCATGAGAATTTATTCTGTTCTAAATACTTTCCAGTATTTCCTCAAAAAGTCCCACAGCAACCCTAGGAGAAAAATTATATTACAAGGAACCCATTTTACAGATAAGGAAACTGAGGCACTGGAACTTTAATTTCCCCATGGTCTATTAAGAGGTGGAACATGAATTTGGACCCAGATGGTCAGGCTCTAGAGCCAGGGCTCTTGGCTCTTTTGTTCATACAGAGAGATCCTATCTGGCATGTTGTTCCCATTTTAGAGATGGGCACTCTGAGGTTCAGAAAGGCTAAGAAACTTGCCCCAGGTTGCACAGAGAGAACTAGGGCAGTATTTAAACCCAGGTCTGGCTGGTTAAAGGATTGAGCTCTTGCTACTACCCCGTGGGGGCTCCCTGTGCCTCTGCTTGTGTCACTGGGGCAGGAGCTCAGGGGAACTCCTCACACTTGACAGTGGCCGGCTGCCCTGGTGGGGGCCCTGGCAGAAGCTGCTGGAGAACCAGATTCACTTGTGCTAGTGTGGCAAGGCAGAGCGGGGGCGGGGGGAGCAGGCCCCCTGTCATGAGCTCCGTCCAGGGTAGGGGACTCACAGTGATGGGGAGCCTCTCCACGTGCAGCCCATTCAGACCTTTCCCTGTCAGCATCTTGCGGTACAGCTGGTTCTTGAGTGGCAACACAGAGATGCCCAGGGGCTTGCTGAGGGTCCACGGCTCACTGCCTTTCACTGTAGAGGGAGGACCAGCTGGGACTCCCCCAGAGCTCCCGCCCCAGGCTCCTCGGATCCCAGCGTCTGAGGTCCCCACCAGGCGGCCGAACCCTTGGTAGCCAACATCTAGTTCTCCCGCCCCTCACTGCCCACCACCCTCCCGCCTCCTGGCCTTGCCCTGCACAAGTATCCTTCTCCTCTGCTCTTTAGGGCTTCCTGCGTCCCTGGCCAAACCCCAAACATATTCTGCATTTTGGGGTGTGTCTGTGGATCACCCTTGGGGGCTTTACTCTCTCAGGGTGGAACTCAGACTGGGAACATTTGGTCTCTGGATTGTTTCCCCTGTATTCTGTGAGCTCTGGGGCATGGCGGGGCCAGTGGTGCGATAAAAATGCGTGGAGCTAATACAGGCATAGGGACCCGTGTGTCCTGACCCTGGAACAAGGACAAGGAAGGCAGCCACGTGCTTCTCCACCTGTGGCATGCCCTGGGAACTGGGTCCCCTTAACCCTTAACCTATCCCTGCAGGGGGCGGAGGCAGGAGGTCTGAGCACTCCTTCCTCATATGTCCTGATGCGTGGCTGCCCTGGCACGGTGCCACGCGCACTCACTGGAAGTCGAGGGGTAGAACTCCAGCACCAGGGCTGTGTCATCCGAGAACTTGGTGGCTCCATCTCGGCCTTGGAAGACGAAGGACTGATTCCACGAGGGCAGCTCCGGGGGTCCCCCAGGCTTGGATAGCTGAAAGGAGGCAGTGGGAGTGGGTGGTGGGCCCGCAGCTTCTCCCAAATGAAGGATGTCCAGATATATCCATACATGTGTGTCCATATATGTCACAAACGTTTGTCCCAATTATAAAAGCAACATATGTGTAAGGAGTGAATTTTGGAAAATACAGAAGAGGAGAAAGGTTAAAAAGAAAAACCCTAAATTCCTACACACTTTAGACAACTGTCCTAAGACTGTGCATTTCTTTCTAGTCTTTTTCCAAAGCCTGTTTTGTAGATAATTGTCATCCTAACATCTTACGTTTTTCATTCACCATGAAAACCTGAATGTACCCAGAGGCACAGGTAACCCTGTTATCCATGATTTTAGTAGTTGTAGGACATTTTGTCAGGTCCAAGGACCCTGGCTTCTCCCTTCCCATGAATATCACTTTATTGAATATTCTTTGACGTGTATCTCTGGATCTCAAATTATTTCCTGAGTACCCAAAATGGAGACCCTGAGCTAAAGGATGTGCCGTTTAAGGCACTTGATTGATCTTCGATAAACTATTTTCCTAAAGAGTCACACTAGTATCCATGCTCAGGGCTGGTGGTGTCAGAGATGGCACATTAGACACGACCTCTACCCTTGTCAACAGCCTCTCCCTGCCTCCCGTGGGTTCCCCAGACCTTCTCAGAGGCTACAGTAGGTCTGAGCCTTGGTGTGTCTGCAGGGCAGGCCATCGGGCATTTGGGGGACTTAATAGCATACTAGGTCCGCAGCTGGGGCACACACACAAGTACTACTTAAACAATGAAAGAACACAGCCTTGACTACGGCTTCTGAATAAGGGGCTAGATGAGACATTCCTGAGGGTGGTCAGAAGGGCTGTCTTGCAGGACGAAGGACCAGAAGAAGGCTCTGAAGTAAAATATGGCAGGGTGAAGGGAAGGAAGAGGGGCTTCTGGCTGGGAAAACAGCCCAAAGAAGAGGGGCAGGGGGCGGCAGGCATGGCAAAGCGGGAGGGCACTGGAATGAGGAGGGGGGGCTCCAGGTGGAGGAGTCCTGGCATCCGCAAAGGCTGGAAGGTAGGGAGTTGGGGCATCAGCCTGGAACCCCCAGCAGGCGGTCCTGCACCATCCCAACACAGGGAGGGGCTGGGGTCATGGGTGCAGACTCCTGGCGGGCTGCCTTGCCTCTGTCCCCAGGCAGGGGCTGTCAGCACCCGTGGCAGCCGCTCCCACCTCCTGCTCCCCTGCGGGAATCAGTCACTGCTCAGAAAGGTCAGCACAAATGCACCGCTGGCTCCGGGAGTTATTGATGCAGGATCTCGAAATATCAGTGTGGGTCCACTCCCCCCGTGGCGGCAGGGGCCTGACGCCTGTCACACTAATGTGCCTGCTCTGGTTCTTTGAGGCCCAGCCTGAGGCTCAGCTGTGTCTGCTTCGGTCCCTGTCCCTGGGGACGTGAGCTGCAGTCACTTTGGGGCTAGCGGTCCTGAACACAGGGACAGTGACTGGGGGGAGGGAGGTGTTCCTGAGAACAGGCTCTGGAGGGAGCTAGGGGATGGCCACTTGGCCAAGGGGCCAGGCAGGAGAAGCTGCTTTCAGGCTCCGTGAAGCTTGGGAGTGGTCTTTCAGGATTGATCCCCAAACCATACCCATCCCAGAGCTGCCCCACTCTCTTGAGTGCCAGGGGGCCTTCCCCACAGCCTGGACCATCTGCCAGGACCTGGGACACTCAAGGCGGACCTGTGACCAAGTCTCCTGCTGCCCCCACCCCTTGCTCCCACACAGGGGGAAGAGGGGTATTTAATGGATACTGGCTGTCCTCTCTGGGGCCTACTAATGTGTCTAAATGGAGCCTACTAAGCAAGAAATAGTGTCTGACTGCTCAGTAAGGACAGTTCTTTCCCTGAGTGGTTTCCCAGGGTGAGTCCTCCAGGAAAGATCCCTTCAGGCCTACCACTGGGGAGAGAGGGTCCAGCCTCTCTTGTGTGTGTACAGAGCGAGGGGGAGGGGCAAGGAATCAAGGATAAATCACCCTCAGATGCCAAGGCCCCAGTGAAGGTATTGGTGGCGTGTGTGTGTGTGTGTGTGTGTGTGTGTGTGTGTGTGTGTTTGTGCGCACGCACGCATGTATGGAGTAGGCAGGGCACGGGGTGGGGAAGCCATTGACCACAGATACTAATGGGAAAGGCCACGGCAGACTGTGGAATTAAGGGATGTGATTAACCCTCAGCTGTGATCTTCAGCAAAGCCATTAACCCCTGGCCACTGAGGCAGCCCTGCCTTCCCTAGGGACAAAGCCTTCATTACTTGGGCCCATGGGCCCTCCTTCCATTTCCCCTGGGCCCTCCACACCCACACCCACATGCGCCACTGCCTGCTCTGCCCATCCCAGAAAGAGTAGCTGACAGTGGCTGATTCTGGGGGGCCTCAAGGGAGCAAGGACGCCTTAGCTCTGGGCCCAGGTCTGCCTCGACCTTGCTGCATGACCTCTGGCAAGTCCCTTCCCCTCACTGGAACTAGGTTGTCACTGTCCACTGGGAAATGTCTTATGCTCGATGCCTTGGAAGGCTCTTGTGAAGGCTGAAGGAGATAATGGATACTTTGCTGTCAAGGTGAAAGTTCAGTTGAACTCAGCGAATGCTGACTGGGGGCTCCTCCGTGCTCTACACCTCAGGGGTGCTACGGGGCACATGGGAGAGCTAGAGTCAGACCCTGTCCCCTCTGGAGCTCACCGTCTTCCTAGGTGATAGGACACACAGACACACACACACTCCTATGATCCATGCAGAGGCCTAAGCAAGTTGTGAGTTGTGGAAGCTGGAATGTCAGAGGAGAAAGCGATGACTTCTGAATGGGGTAAGGACGATCTGAGGGAGGAGCGCCATTCTAGGTGGAGGGCAGCAGAGGCCGAGGCTGAGAGGCCAGAGAAGACAGCACAAATGTGGAGAACAGCTGGGCATCCAGAGTGGCTACAGAAAGTTATGCGGGTTGGAGCAGTGAAACAGGAGGCTGCAGGCAACGAAGCCTTTGTCCTGCCGGTGAAGGGATCAGGGATCCAGGGGAAGAGCCTCAATCTGGGGGAGGCATTGCCCTGGCTGCTTCTCACAGGTGAAGGGAGGGGCCCGAGTGGAGGCTGCTTCGGTGGTCCATGCCAAGAGAAGAGGAGGCCAGCACTAGGGCAAGGTCTGTGGGATGGAAAGGGGCCCCATGAGAGCTTGGGTACCCACTGGCCATGGGAGCTGAGACAGGAGGAGATGACAGTGAGGACAGACTTCTTTCCCCACGGCTTGTGTTTCATCAGCCAGGGGCTCTGCCTCAGCTCTGTAAGGAGATCAGGCCAACAGGAGCAGCCTACTGGGCAATGTGCAGGGTGCCGGGGAGGAATAATTCCTAAGTCCCACCCTATTTCAGGTCCCTGCGGTAGGGCCAGATCAAGCCCTACGGACCCACCTATCTCATAACTCATCACTTCTGCCATCATCACCAAGCTCCGAGAGGGGTGAAGCAGACTCTAAGAGCCGCCTACCCCTCAATCATTCCCCTCCCTGCCTCCTGGCTTTGGTCCAGGTGGCCCCCCTTCACCACACCTGCGCACTTCAGCTACCACAAGAAGATGATGCCACACCTCTCAGTGATTGGTCAAGAGAATTGCACATGACCCAATTCTGGCCAATGAGGCGAGAAAGGTCTGTGGAGGGGCTGCGGGTAGGAGGTTTCCAGCGCTACCTAAAAGCCACAGGTAAAGAGGGCAGGAGGCTCCTTCTTTCTCTGGTCTTGGTCGTGCATGGGGTACTCCAAATATTTGGCCTCCCTGAGCCATTAGCAACCTGAAGATGGCAATTCAGGGGCGGTGGAAAGATGCTAAGTCCCGAGAATGTTGCTAAGATGGTGCATCAACCAATTCTGGCCGCATCCTACATGGGGTCCCTTGCCAATTGTAACAATAAATACCCTTCGAGCTTAAGTCGATGAGGTTTCTGTTGCTTGTAGACAATTGTAACAAGGGCACTCGCCAGGCTGGTTTCAGGAGGCAATGGACCCTAGGAGGGGCGGTTCTGCAAGGGAAGGAGCCCACTGAGTTTCCTTCCACCCTGGGCTTGGATGCTGTGCCCAGGTTACTCCTTTAATCTCTCCTAACAGCTCAATAAAGGTAGGAATCTGGAATTGGAGAAATTGGGATGCTTGCCAAAGGTCACGCAGCTAGTAAGTCACAGAGCCGGGGGCCGGGGTGGGGTGGGGTGGAAGTCAGGAGTGCCAGGCTCTCAAATCCCTGCCCACAGTGCTTTGGCTTGGTGGCAGCTGGTGGGAAATCACAGCAACTGAAGATGTCAGAGAGGCAGGTCCTAGAAATCACCTGGTCCAGCCACCATCCCTCAACTCAGGTTAGGGGACTGAAGCTCAGAAAGGGGATGGGGCAGGGGTGTGTGTAGGCTACTGACTGGTGCCCCTTTGAGGTATGGCTCTGTCCTCCCCCACCCCCACCTTGTACCACAGAAGCCTGCCCCTGTCCCCTCACTGCTAGTATGTGGGCACCTCTGTGAGTTCTCAACCTGGCCCAACGACCATGTTGCCTAGTGGACAAGTGCCCTGCAGTCACTGAACCCCTGGCCTCGAGTCCCACACATGTATGAGGCATGGGAGGCAAATCTTGGGAGCTAGCAAAGACTCCCCTCCTCCCCACAAAGACTCGTTAGCAAAGGCAGCCACAGAGGGCCCAGGAATGGAGAGGAGGCTCCCTCATTAAAGCAGCCGGTACTTCCTGCCCCTTGGGACCGCCTGCTGATTGGTTCATAATTTTCTGGGCAAATGCAGGGCCATGTGTGAGATGACTCTGGGGAAATCAGGCCGAGGATTGGTTTGGGTTTGAAGCCTGTGTCCCCAGGGTCCTCCTTCGTCCCACCCGTCCCTACCACCATCTCTCTTGCCCGTGTCTGAGCCTTCAAATGTCCTTGCCTTTAAATGAAGGCTGGGGCTCCAAAGGGGCGCCTCATTCTGTATTTGCCCTGCCAGATGTGAACCATGGTGGGCAGACAACAGGAAGGACTTCCCAGGCACCCCTGTCTTCTTCAAGGCCCTGGGAATGTTGGGACCATCATGTGGGGCAAGCTTCAGCTCAAATAGAGACTATGGGAAGAGACCGAATGGGTCATCTCCTGGAGCCCAGCCACAATCTACACATCCCTCCCCAACATACTCAAATACACTACCCTCCTCTCCAACCCTGTCCCATGCCCTTGGTTCTCTATTGCCCTGCACCAACCCTCCCCTACTAAAAACTCAAGAGTCTTGTGTCTGGATACCCATTCTAATCACCCAGGCTTCACATCCCTCCGACCTCTGGTTTAAACACATTTTTATTGTGGTAAAACATATACAACGTAAACTGAACCGTTTGAACCATTTTTAGGTGCACAGTTCAGTGGCATTCAGTAAATTCACAATGTTGCATAACCATCATTACTATCTATTTCCAGAACTTTCTCATCATCCCAAACAGAAACGCTGTCCCTATTAAACAATAATACTCTATTGTTCCCCCGGGGCAACCACCATTCTACCTTCTGTTTCTATGAATTTGTCTACTCTAGGAACCTCATATCAGTGGCATCAGACAATATTTGTCATTTGTGTCTTCTCTGATGTTTACAGCTCTGACAGTCCCTCCTGGTTTTGTTATTAGACTACATATTATCTTGTGTTGATGTTTGACCTTTCCATGTGTGTGATGCCAATCTTCAGCAGACCAAGAGCGCCCCCAAGGGCAGCTTCTCCAACAGCACAGACAGGCATGGCTCTGGGTACATGGCCAGGTTCGGCAAACTCCTTAAGAGTCCAGGGAATAGCTGACTGAAGGAATGAATGAACGGACACATGGGTGAGACACTAGAGGTCCGAGGCAGTGACAGGGTGTGTGGGGGGAAGGAGCCGTACCTGAGGACACCCGTTCTGGCTGACCTGAGGAACATCCAAGTGCGGCAGAGATGGGATTGGGAAGGGGAGTGGGGTGATGGGCAGCCCCACGAAGGCCGGGTCCTGCTTCATCTGATTGGCCCTAGGGAGGCAAGGAGATGGGGGTCAGCCCATGAGTGCTATCCAGTACTCTTGACTCTCTGCCCAAGCCTGGAAGCCATGGGCTCCCACTTGGACGGGCTCTGGACTGATGTGATAAAGGAGGAGGGTGCAGTGGCCTGGACACTAGAACAGGGAATGGACCGTGGTCCTTCTGATTGCTGGCCCAAGCCTTGGGAAAGCTCGTCTTGGTCAGGAGATAGGCTGCAGCAACCAGGTTCCTTTCCTCATGACTCATGGTGGCCTTGGCCACATCTCAGTGCCTCAGCTGGCCCATCTTTAAAACGCCTCGCCTTTGGAAGTCTTTGCCAGAGTGACCCACCCCCATGGTGGGAGTCCTAGTTTAGGCCTAAGGTGGGGGGCATGGAGGCTATAAGGGCAGGATTCTGGGTGTGTGTATGTGAACGTGTGTGCATGTGCTGAGCTCTTTAGGAGGGCTGGGAATGAGTCAATCAGTCAGCTTCATTTCCCCAACAAACAAGGGGTGTTCACAGGTCATCAGAACCAAACAGATTGTGTGGCTGAGTTTTGCTGGACCACCATAGGTAGTGACAGAGGCAGACAGCTCTGCCCCCCCGCCCCATCCCATACCCGATGCGCATCAGGTTAGGAGTGGCTGGGAACCTCCTCTCCTCCACATGCAGGCCCCCCTCCCCCGCAGCCTGCTCTCCAGAGAGTTCTGAGCCACCCCCTTCCAGGGGCTGTGAGCACCTTCCTGGGACCTCAGACCCAGTGGGAAGGTTTAAAGGGCCTTGGGGAGGGTAGGTTTCGAGGGCTCCTGGAATCGTGGTCTGTGTGGCAATGATAGCCTTTCCCCTCCTCTGTCCTCTGCCCTCCTCACCCTCCTTAAGTGAGTTTGGGCCCCACTCACTGAAAATCACTGTAGTTGGGAACCACCCTGGCAATGACCACCATGGGGTCAGAGTTGTTGATCAGGGGCTCGTTGACTCCCCGGAGAAAGACCTGGGGAAGAGAGGAGGCAAGTGAGCTTTGGGTGGTCTTGGGCCCCCTCAGGAGCAAGGCCAACCCATCTACCATCTTTCTCCCCAGTAATGAGATCATCTCTGCCTCCATCTGCCTCACTTGGTTCTCTCTCTGCTCACGGCTGCTCTTTCAGGCCCTGAGCTAGACATTGGGAAGGCAGGGGGAGGAGACATGGATTCTGTCCCCACATACCTCTACTGCCAACCCAACCAATTCCTGATCTGGCTCTGGCCCTCACCCCTTATTCACCAGATGGGCTCCCTCTAGCCCCTCTATCCTCACCCCAACTCCCCCAGCTGTGATTCTTGTGGCTTCTTTTACTTCTCTCACCCCCATCACTGGCCTCTGCTTCTGTTCTGCCCCCAACCCATCCCCTCTCTCAGGCAATGTAATGCACGACGGCAAAAACCGTTTTTGTAAAAATAAATTGGATCGTGTAATTTCTCCTGCGTGAGACCCAGCAATGACTCCTCCCACTGCCCTTAGAATGAATTCTATAATTCTTACCATCATGGCCAAGGCCTGCATGTGTGGTCTGTCTGCCCTCAGCCCCACATCTCCACCAATCCCTCAGTCCTGGGCTCTAGCCTCTTTTATCTCACCTCTCCAACAGTACTCACTTGTTTCTGCCTCAGGGTCTTCGCACATGCTTAGATTCCCCACCACCACCCCCAGTGACTCAGTGGCTGGCTCCTTCTCTTCCTTTAGAGCTTAAATGTCACCACCTCCTGGAGGCCTTCTGTGACCTTACTAACGTAGCCCACCCCATTCTCTTAGCCCCTGGATTGCCACTTCTCTAGCACTCATCATATCCTGTGTTTATTCTAATTCTTTCTCACTCATGTTCCATCCATCTGACTGGAACCCAGTCTCCACAGGGGCAGGGATCACATCCACCTCATTCACTGCTATATCCCCAGCTAGTAGCAAATGCATGCGGCGCACAGTAGGAGCTCAGTATGTGTTTGGGGGATAAATGAGCTCTGAGCATTGTTTATGAAGGAGAAAAGTGGAGGATGGGGAGGGAGAGGCTGACTGTGTTTCTGAGCACATGAGAGAGACAGAACCATGGGGACCTGGTGGGGCAGGGGAGGACCCAGGCAGTGACCTCAGTGGGCAGGGGTGGGGAGGGCTGGGCTTGAGCTGGTCTTGGAGGATGCATGGGGGGCATGATTCCATGGGAAGAAGAGCAGGAAAAAGAAGGGGCTGTGAACACAGCCGAGGGGACACTCACAACAGCTGGGTCACTATGTCACTATGGCCGGTCCCTGCTCCACTCCGGGCCTTGGTATCCCAGCTCATACACTGAGGGGTTGGACCATACTGTCCCTGGTTTCCCTAGTTCTGGCCTTCAGTGGGAGGAGAGCCTGGGAGTAAGGGCTTGCTCTGGATTCTCTTTCCTCCTCCCTGAGCACTCTCTCCTAGGACGCTCTGCCAGGACCCGTCTTAGCAGGTTGCCTGCAACTCCATGCAGTTGTGAGCTGACAAGGCCTTAAAATAGTGCGTCGGGCTTTTCAGGGCTCACCGGGGCCCCTGGGGGCTGAATCCCTTCCACCAATTCAAAGGACCGCATCTGATGGGACATTTCAAACTTTGGGTGGCAGTGGGAGCCTGGGCTGAGCGAGGCCACTGCAGAGCTGTCAGGCTCTGGCGCACACAGGGACTCCAACAGGTGTAGGGGCTGAGAGCAGGCCTCTGAGAGGTGGGGGTGCTGGCTAATTTACACCTGTCCAGTGCTGAATGCTCAGGTGTGAATGAGACAGCTGCCCAGGCGCTGGGGCCACGGAGTGGGTGGGGGGCTTGAGACTCTCCCAGGTAAGTCTGGGGGCTGGGGGTTGGGGTGGGGCAGATCCTCAGTGGGGACCCCCCACAAGCCAGAGTTCTGCTGGGTCTGAAAAGGTATGGTCTTCTCCCTGGGGGATGTGGCCTGGGGACAGCAAGGCCAAGCTGTTACTCCTCTTTGTTCTGTGCGTGCGTGCGTGCGTGCGTGCGTGTGTGTGTGTATGTAGTGCTGGCAGGTCTCAGGAAAGAACATGATGGAAAAGGGAGGGAGATTAGAACAGAGGAAGCCTGCATATCTGACACACACTGGCATCCAGGGTGGCTGTGGGGAAGCAGAGATGTGGGTCAGCAGCTCTGGACTTCCATTCCAGACTCCCTGGGACTTGGTGTCCCCAGCTGTGAAATGGGACTAAAGATCACTTCTTGTCCAGCCAGACTTATAGTGGGTGGGCCAGATCAGCCATGTTGGGGCAGGGGAAGCCCAAGAGCTTGGGACTTCTCAGATCCCCCTCTCATACTCAGGCCAACACTGCATTTAAATCTGTCATCCCTGGGCAGTTTGAAGACTGTGGAGGAAAGGGAGGGAGGATAGGTCCCTGGACATCTTTCCGGAGCATCACCCATCTTTCTTAAGCTGCTGAAAGGCCAAGGAGTAGAAGGTTGGGGGCGGCATGTGTGCAAGCTGGGTCCAACTGAGCCAAGCCTAGAGGAGGCTCTGTAAACAGTTGCTGAATGAATGAATGAATGAATGGATGCCTAATTGGAAGGCCAGCCTTCAGAAACAGGGCTCAAAGTAGAGGAGAAGGCCATAAAATTTTGGGGGCTGTAGACCCTAGGTCAGGGGTCACTACTCCAAGCAGGACAGAATAGGAGAGAAATAGGAAGGGAATGTGGGCCAAGGTGGGGAGCTTTTCCTCCCCCCTCCATGAGATTCAAACAGACATAACACTTTGGGAGCCCCCCCTTTCTCCATCCTCCCTGCATGGTGTGTGTGGAGCAGAGCAGAGCAGGACTGTATGCCTGGAAAGTGCTGGAAAAGGTTAGGCGTCATTTTCATCTCCATCCCTAGACCCTTCATCCCTGTCATCCAGAGGGTGTTCTTCACAAAGTACTATGGCTATTCTTGGAAGGCCTTGTTGTTTTTTCCTTCTTCATTTCTTCCCCAGATGCCCCTCCCTGCCCCACAAAGTCAGGCCAACCCAAGGTGGCCAAGAGCAGGGCCTGGGGTCTGCTCTAAGCTTAGCCATTCCCACCCCAGTCTGAGCCCCGGTCCTGGTACCTCCAGAGCTGTGTGGTTGCTGCCGATGCAACGAGGGAAGAGACTTCCTTTCCGAATGACTGTTGCGTACAGTTGGGTGTTGGCAGTGGCTTCCTCAGCTTTCCCAGACTGGGTGGGCTGGGGACAGGGTGAGGGAAGAAGACACACAAGAAGGAGAGTGACGAAGGGGCAGACCCTGGCCATAAATCCAGCCCTCTGCAGACAATCACTAGGCATTGCTCCACTGGGGCTCCGAGTTGATAATTAAAGCTCATGGTCCCTGCGAGCCCTTCCAAGATCAATATAATAAATCTTCCCTTTTCTATTTGAATATTTCATCGCCCTCACAAGGACCACTGCCTGCCTGCTCTCTCTGTAAAGATGTGATAACAAGGCCTGGGTTGTAAGTGGACAGAGAGCCAGAAGGCCTGGGTGATGATCATAGAATCATGGATAAAGCACTGAGCCTTCTGGGCGTGTCACTAATCTCTCTGGGCCTGCCTGCCCCTGCCTGCCCCAGGTACCTCATCCAGGCTCAGGGAAGGGGCATAAGGAAGGTAAAGGCCCCTAGGCCATGGTCAAGGTGGTGCTTTGAAAGAGGATCAATGTGGGACCTGGTGTGAAGCGGGGAGGGAGGAAAGGAGGGGAACTAACTTAAACTGATCACTCACTATGTGCCAGGGACCTCACTAGAGGCTTTTGCTCATTGTTGCTTTCAACTGTCCAAATGGCCATGCTCAGTATCTCTATTTTGACAATGAGAAGTGGAGGCCTAGGGGGTTAAGCAGCTTCCTATGGATATATAGTATAGCAAGAGGCAGACCTGGGATAGAAACTCACACAATCTTGCATCACACTGTTCTTTACTCTAAACCATAATAGGGTCTGAGGTGCACACTGAGGGGAGAGTATATTTCTGTTCATCTCTGGCCCAGTGCCTAGCATGCAATGAAAGAGTGAGTCTTTCCTTCCACCAATCAGCATGGTAGAAAGGGGGTGGGCAGGGGACCTGGCCTGGGAAGTTCAAACCATGGACTGAGGTCCCCTGAGGCTCCCACTCCAGACTCAGGGCTAGTTCCCTACAAGAGGGGTGCACTCCAGGGAATACTTTCTTTCCCACGTGCCCTGACTCTCCTCGGCCTTCCTCCTACCAAAGAAGTGTGTGGAGGCAGCACAGAAAGAACTGACTTGGGAGACGGTGTGAGCTGGGCTCAGCCTCCACTCTGTTACTCACTTGCTCTGTCACCCAGGTTGAGAGGATTCCTCTCTCTGGGTCCCAGTCCTATATATGCAAAATAGAATTCACCTTGAGGATTAAAGAGAGTGTCTAGCCCAGGACCTGAAACATAGTAGGTACTATGAAAATACTGTACTAATGTAGTAGATGTTCCATGCTATTGGGGCTGTTTTACAGAGATGAATTTGGGGAATTCCAAATTTCTCATGGAAACCACTCATCTTCTTCCTGAGTCTCATATGGTCCAGGACTTATCTTACTGTAGGGTGAGCATGGGAGGCTCTGAAGGAATATCTGGGCACATGAGGGTGGTTACCACCTGCTCTCCCTCTACCTGTCCTACATGGACCCGGCACCTAGGGCCTCAACTCACCTTTACCAGCTCAAAGTGGTAGGGGTGGAAGAGACACAGGTACTTGATGGGGATTTGGTAGGATAATAGCTCCTCTTTATTTTTATTGTCCACCACCTTGAGGACCATATCTGAAGGGAGAAAAAGTGAGCTCAAGGTCAAAACAGGGCTTAGCTGACCAGCATCACTCCCAGCGAGGTGAGCCAGTGGGAGGTGAGACATTGTCAAGAGTACAGAGCAGGGGCCATGCTGAGGAACCAACACGAGTGTGGGACACACACATGCACACAACTTCACAAGCACTGTTTGAGTTCCGGTGCAGGGCAAGTGTCTGTGCTAGGTTCTGTTAGGATTCAAAGATGCAACTCTGTCCTTTAGTCCCAGCCCAGAGATGGACACAGAATGGAGCCCGCATGGCAACAGACACACATGAGCTGACTCAGAGACATGCACGCAAGCAGGAATAGTACCGCTTCCCTTAGTCAAAGACACTCTCACCAGCAGCTCAGGCATGAAGGGGAGGGTCATCTCCCACATGTTGTGAATGGGGAAACTGAGTCTCAGTAAGGAAAAGTGATCTGCTCAAGAAATCTTTCAACACAAGCACCAATAAAATATCTCCAAGGAAATGAAAATTGGTCTAACACTAAGAATGACACACCACTTAGAAAACTGCCTCTAAAGAGAGTACATTTTGTCAAAAAATGCATGAACTTCAGGATGAACTCTGAGAAGAGCAGCAATGACCTGGAAATAATCGTGGAAATGCTCCTTAGTGAGCACCTGCTGTGTGCCAGACATGGGGATGGGTACTCCTGAGTCATTATTCCAACAAATCCCCACCACAACCCCTCAAATAGGAATCACCATCTCTGTTTTTCAAATGTGGACAGTGGAGCTGAGAGAGGTTAAATTACTTGATCTCCATCACTCAGCTAGTAAATGGTTGTTGGGAGAGGCTAGGCTTGTAACCCTGGAGGCATCTTTCCACTCTTGAAGTCTATGGTGTGAGGAAGAAGAGGAGATGAGGAGGGAGGAAAAAACGGGGAGGGAGGAGGGGGAGGGAGAATAAGAGAGATGGAGGAGGGAAGGATCTAAAAGATCTAGAGAAGAATGGGAAAGGGAAGGGATGGGAAGGTCGGGAGTACCTGATGGTACCTGATGGAGAGTGGGGTAGTCCCTTGCTCTTTGCCTTCTTGAGACAAAGACACATCAGCACCATGGACAGCTGCTGGCGGGACTGGTCCAACAGTCTGGGAGCCCTCTGTGGCGGGGTTGCTTGGAGCTTGGTGGGTCAATTGAATGAGCATATGGAGGGTAGCTCAGTCGGTTAAGTGTTCAACTTTGGCTCAGGTCATGATCTCACAGTTTGTGAGTTCAAGCCCTGCGTCAGGCTCTGTGCTGGCAGCTCAGATCCTGGAGCCTGCTTCGAATTCTGTCTCCCTCTCTCTGCCCCTCCCCCTCTCAAAAATAAATTAACATTAAAAAAAATTTTAAAAGGACTGTTGAAGGAACGTGAGGAGGAGGAGGAGGAAGTGGAGGAGGTGGAGGAGGAGGTAGAAGAGGAGGCAGAGGAGAAGGGTTTTGCTAATTACTCTTCCTTTTTTCCTTTTCCCCATTGCTACCCTGGAAACAGAGAGGGAAAAACACTTGCTAAAGTCCCCCAGGAGGTGGCCAAATGGGATCTGTGCTCAAAGGAAAGAAGGGTAAATGGGGAAATCGGCACCCAAAAGACTTGAGGTTGCCTTGAAGGAAGTAGAATAAGACAAGAGATTTGAAGTGAGCAGATCTGGATTCTAGTACAAACACACCAACTTGCTCTGTGACCTACGTCAGTCACTTAACCTCTCTGAGCTTCATGTTCCTGCTGTGCAAAATGTTAATATTTTAGAAAGGAAAATCATTGTCTCTCTCCTAATATTTCTGTATGGAGGGAAATGTATTTTTTTAATTTTTGTAATGTTTTGTTTATTTCTGAGAGAGAGAGAGACAGCATGAGCAGGGGAGGTTCAGAGAGAGAGGGAGATAGAATCTGAAGCAGGCTCCAGGCTCTGAGCTGGCTGTCAGCACAGAGCCTGAGGCAGGGCTCGAACCCACAAACCGTATGACCTGAGCTGAAGTCTGACACTTAACCGACTGAGCCACCTAGGCACCCCAGGAAATGTGTTTTTCAAGCTATGAAATTCTAAGCAAATGCTCCTTGTAGCTGTCACTATTTTCCTCTTCATTAACCATCTGTAGTGTTCCATATATTCACTGAGCCCTGAGCAGAACTGAAAAAAAATTCAACTAGGGGATTCCAGTGCTCCCAGCTGAAGCTTCAACAGTAGCTGCGGAGGCTGCAGCCCCTCATGGCCACTACCCATGGGCCCTGAGCCCCCAAATCTGGTTGGAATTTGCTGAGGCTGAAGAAGGGCTGAGTGTCCTCCTGCATTTCCTCCTCCTCCCACAGTCCTTGGAGCCCTGTGTGGGCAGTCAGCAGCTGAGCCGTAAGTGGGGGGAATGGACAGCCCTCCCTCCCCGTTCCTGTCTCCACACTACAAACCCGCTTCATCAGCTTCTTCTCTGGGCATTGTGCCCCTCCAGCCTCCCACCGCTCCCTTTGTGTGGCCAACAAGCCATTTCTGCCACCTGCCTGCTTTGGCCCTGACACGGGTCTGCAACTCCCCTTTGCTTTCATTAACACCTCCTTGAGCTACCTCCCCCTCCCCCCACCTCTTGGCTTGGCCCCCATCTCCCCACCCCCACCCCAGACATCACCACAGCAACCAGTTCCAATGAGCATCCAGCGACTTCAATCTGCAAAGAGGCACCTGCCAATATTCCCTGCCTGCCCGTGAGGACTCGTGACCCGCTTGTTCCTGCAGTGAGTGCTGTTCCCTCTCTGCTGCACAGATGGGCCCCAAGACCACTGACTCATCATGTCCTTCCTTATAGTTACCCAACATGTGCAGAGCTCAAGGTGGGAGCCCAGACCACGCCTACTCACCACAGGCCCTGACTTCCTGTCAGCCACACAGATGCACGCACACACACACACACAATACATACACACATGCACTGCCAGACATACACCACCTCCCAGATAAATCTAGGCACATACATAACATACTGTTGTGGTCAGACACACACATGCATACACACACACATGACACATGGACGTGCACGCCTCTGGCCACAGTCACAAGCATGTACTCACACACACCACGTTCACACACACATATGAGCCAGCAGGCAGGCATTCACAGAGACGTGCACACTCAGGCGCACACATGCGTGTGCACGAAATCCTAGGTCCATTTTTCATCCTCTCCCACCTTTTCTCAATTCCCTCCAACAGCCCTACCTATCCCTTTACAGGCAGGAAAATATGGTTTGACCCAGAACTGGCTCCACCCCCTTTTATTGATGGGGGCCCTCTCACCCTTTGTCTCTCTCGCCTTTCCCCCTCTTCAGCAGCTGGCTTTCTGCTCTTTTGTGAGGCAGATGGGAGTTCTAAGTCCCTGGTGACATTTCAAGGAGGGGAAGCAAAGCCCAGTCCTCTGAGGGAAGGGGACTTCCCCTGCAAGACGGAAGGTTCTTCTGACTTGGTAACAGCAGAGACGCCGTGCACACCTGTGGATCTGCGCTGACTGTGCCCGATGCCAGTGCCCACAGCTGTCCTGGCATCTGCCAGTCAAGACTCCCGGGTGCCCAGCCCGAGGTCTCGCTCAAGAGTGGAAGCCACAAGTGCACACACATATTCATGTATGCCTGTACTTGGAGATTTCAGTATAAGCCCCGCCTTGAAAAACTTAAATTACCTCCAGTGTTAGAATTTGTTAGAGGACAGGGGCTGGAAAGGCTTCCAGGGGGTGGAGGAGCAAGAACTAGTAGGCGGTTTCTATGACCGTGGACTGTGGCCCCGAGGAAGCACAGGGGCACTGCTGTCTCACCGTGGGAAGTGCCCGGGAGACAAGGCAGGATAAGGAACCATTCTAGGGAAGAAGCTAGAACACTGAAGCCTCAGTGAGAGTATGTATTGCTCATCCTAGGTCCTCCACCTACTGATTACATGAGCTCAAGCCAGTTCCCTGGACCTCAGTATTCCCATCTATGCAATGGGAACAGCATTGCTCCTCCCAACGGGTGACGTGCGGGGATGTGCCAGGAAGCTGTAATGTGCTGTTTCAGTGGGAGATGGTAGTAATAACAACCATGAAAATAATAACAGTGGCCGTAAAAAGATAAGCTTTCATTGTCTGGGAAATTCATTTATGTGGAACAACTCATTTTTCGCGCAGACTGAGGAGATGAGGCATGACAGTATTATGATCTTTTTTTCTTTAAAGTGCTTTTAACTGAGCCCAAAGAGGTGTTCAGGTGGCTTCCAGCTGAGAGGGGGCCTGCCTCTGCCTCACACTCCTCCCATGCATGCCAAGCCACGCTGCCCCCTCCCCTGCTCCCCCCACCCCGCCTCACCTTCTTGCCCCACATCCTCAGCTTGGAGCTCCACTTTGACCGTGTCCCCCCAGATGGGGGCTGTGGTGGGCTCTGTAGTCACAGACGTGACAGCCTTGGTGTTCTGGTTCTTCACATCCTCAGATGTGGTTTGCCTGGGGGTGGGGGTAGAATGAGGCTGAGTCAGAGGAAGGGCGTCCTGCCTGCTGCTCACCCCTTCTAGACACATTGTCCATAAATCTGAGCAAAGGGTGGACAGAGAATGAAGAGCTCCCTCCCAGGCAGACACACTCTTGTCATCCCAGGCCTAGAGGACGCCAGGTCTCTCTCCTTGGCTGCCCCGACTGCCCGGGGGACCACCCTGTCTCTCTGAAGCCTTCACGTGAGCTCAGGCACCTGAGGCTAAGGGTGGGGATGCGAATGGGGGTAGACTCCTTGCCTGTCTGACTTCCTGCCCCTGCCTTGGAAGGGGTCCCTAGCAGGCGCCTGTGTGCATAGACTCCCCATCCTGACTCTCCTCTCTAGGTTCTGTTCAGGAGGAGGAAGTCGCTGGGCAGGACAGCTGTGTGGTGCCCGCCTGGCTGGCTTCTCCTTTGACCTTCATTTCCTGAAGCTGCTGGCCCGATTCCCAAGGCCAGGCCCGGCTTCCTAGGCTCTGAATCTTTTCAATGGAGCACATACACACCACTATCTTCTGCAGCACCCACTGTGTGCTGGGCCCTGGGGTGGGCACTTGGAGCTGGGCATGGGGCAAGGCAGGGGGTCAGTGAGGGGTCGTGCAGGGCCAGCCTGTCCAAGGGGAGGCCCTCTGCATCCCAGTGCATCCCACAGGTATCTGAGTTAAGTGTCCCTGAGCTCCTGAGCCATCAAACAGCTCAGCGAGAGAGTTAATACTTCTTCTGTTGAGGAGGTTATTATGTTGGAGCTGTAAATGGCGCTGCTACATTAACTGTGGCAATCATGGGCGAGGAGTCATCCAGGAGCCTGGAGCCGGGGGAGCCACGCCATGTACTTGGGAGGGGGAGGTGCTGTGCCCCGATGGATCCCCGGGCAGAGGCACAGATGGTGTCCTCACTAGCCTTGGCCCCCTCCAAGAGACCCCCAAAGGGAGTGTGGGGCAGGAGAGCTGGCCCAGAAACTCAGAGCCAGTGTGCCCCATATGGTAGCTAAATCAGCTTGTGGCCTTCCCAGCCCAGCCTGTTCTTCCCCTCCAGGAAGCCTTCCGGGCCCCCTGGCCCTCACTGCTCCCTCTGTCCTCTGGACTTGAGTGACGTAGCAGCCTGGACTGTTGCTCCCCAATTGCCTGCAGGGCTCCTGTGGACAGCCATTCTTGTAAGAGCCCTGTCTCCACGCTCCAGGGTTCAACTGAAGACCCCTCTCTGCTTCCGCTGAGAGACAGTGTGGTGATGACAACAAGGTCCTTGGAGTTCCTAATCCCAGCTCTGCCCCTTATTAGCTGTGTGACTTGGTCAAGGTACATGTTCTTGCTGTGCTTTACTTCCTTCACCTATGAAACAGGCTTGATAATGCAGGGCCGTTGTGGGCATGAGCTGAATTCATATGTGTAAAGTACTTGACATGTTGTTAAGTACCATGACAGTGTTAATAATCATGATCGCTTTAATTGCCCGTGGCTTTGTGTCCCCCCATCTTGACCCCACTGCTGGGTCCATGTCTGGGGGTCTCTGGCTGCCGTGGCCAAGGCGTGGAGTCCTGGGGAGAGGACAGGCTTCAGAGCCACACACAAATGGGTCTGAGGCCACAGTTACTTCTTGACCAGGCACCTGCCCTCTCTGAGCCTCAGTTTCCTCCTCTGTAGGTCGGACCTCCCTGCTGGGGTGGTTATAAGGACTGGGAAGAAAGCATGTTAAGCTCCTCGCACACAGAAGGCCCCAGTTTCATGTTATTCCCTCATTTACGATACAAGCTGGGGATTTCTCAAAAGTCGCTGACCCAGGGCAGCCTGGCAGGGGCCAGGGTTGCCGAGGGAGGGCTGGGATGATGAGGGGCGGGCCTCCCAGACTCCACACTGGTCCAGACTCTTTGTCTCCCCACATCAGTGCAGAAGGCCCCTCTGGCCCGGGGCTGTGAAGGAGGCTGCCAGGCTGGAGAGGAGGAGGCATCAAAGCCGGCAGGGGTTGGAGATCCCTGCCTCCTGCTTTGCGAACCTCTGCTAACTCAGGGGTGCAATGTGAGCCCCGGCTCCTGCCCCTCTGGGCCTTATGCTCAATGTAAGGACGAAGTCAGAACTCTACACCACAAACCTCCGACCTGCTCCTGCACGGCACCCAGTATTTTGTGTCCCGGGGAGGGGGGGGCGCTTCCCAGTGCTCAAGGCACACAGACTGAGGGTGAGCAAGGGACCTCAGCCATAAGCAGTGCAGTGACAGAACGCAGGTCAGAGCCCGTGACCTATACTTGCCAGCCTGTCTTCCTCTTGCCAGCAGGAGGGATTCCAGGTGGAAAGAGGTGGGGAAGGGCAATGGGCAAGGCCAAGGGAGGCTGCCGGTGCTGACGCTGCTCAGGCATAGAAGGGGTTAAGCAAGCATCCCTTTCCTCCCTTCCCTCAACAGGAGGGGTCTGTCAGAGCTAGGTGAGTGGAGATGAAATAACTCAGGAGGGGTGAGGCCCCAGGGGAAGAAGGAGGCTTTTAGCAGGTGGAGGGAGGCTGTCAGGGTAATGGCTTTTCCTGGCACAGCTGACTCCTTCGGGCCTTGATGCTACTCTAGAAACTAGAGATCTTGAGAGGCAAAGGGGGCCAGCTAACTCCTTGCTCCTAGTTCCCATGCTGTACCTCCCTGGCCCCTGATGGGACTCAGGTCTCCCAGTGAAGCTGCTGAGCCCGGGGGGACCTCTCTGGGACCTGCCTCCACATAGCTGCTTCAAGAGCAGGATCCTCCCTCCGGTCCTTAGAGCCCTGGCCTGGCTCTAGCAGGCAGGCCCTGGGGGAGCTGCTGGGTGCTGCCTGCTCTCTGGGGACTCAGACTTAATCCAGCCACGGGAGGGGCAGTCAAAGCAAGATGGAACTGGGGTTGAGTTCCGAGGCACAGTTCAGCAATCCTGGGTCCCAAGCTGCCAGGAAGCGGAAACCCCTCTCTACCAGGCCCACCCTTCCAGCACATGGGAGGGATGTGTGTGTTTGACAAAATATCCAGGAGGCCCTGGGGCTCCTGCACAAGCACGGGGTGGGGGCCAGGCCCAAGCACATCTGTGAGTGGGAGGGAAGAAGTCGGATTTTGCTTTCCTTCTAGGCTGTAACTAAGGGAGATGCATCGTCTGGCCCTAGAGGCTATCAGTGAGGTGAGCAGTGGGAAAGGACAGGGCACCGGTGGGGCACGTGAGTGCAAGCTCCGAGCCATCCCCCCACCCTCCACCCATCCTCTGAAATGCTCTCTGGAGCATATACTTCTAGGGGTGGATGTGTGCGACATTGTCCCTGCCTCCAGGAAGCCTCCCCTGACCAGCCCCTCCTCTGGTTCCCCTCCACCAGCACAGGCATGTGTGTGTGTGTGTTTGCATGGACACACAGGCTTCCCCAGGGAGGTCTGTGTGCCACACATCACCCAATCTCCATACCCCCCTCCACGTGCCAGCCCTCAAGCTGCCTCCCTGCTCGCTAAGCCCACCCCCTACACTTGCTCTGCCTGTCTGCTTGGTCTCCCGCACTCTTCAAGGTGTCAGAGCATGAATAAATGCGAAGGTCTGGCCTCCTCCAGGGCAGGACTTTGGAAGCTCAGGGCTTGTCCTGAAGTATCGACCCCAGGGCAGCCCCTAAGATATCAGGCAGAAGGGGAGGACCCTAATTTGGATCTGTTCTGGCTGCTGGGTTCCTGGCTAGGCAGGACCCTGAATCCTGGAAGACCAAAAGGATGTTCCCAGAAGCCCCGAGGAAGGAGATGCTTGGGCAGAATGAGGATGGACAAAGGGTAGAGCCTTTACATGATGGATTGTAGAATAAGAGGCCTTGTAATCTTTTGACCTGGTCCTCCACAGCCCTACAGCTTGCTCCCCTGGGAAATTTAGAGGCAGGTGAGGAAACAGGTTCAGATGAAGATTCCTTAAGGCCAGATGCCCGGTGTGCCATGATTGGACCCCATTCTGTCCTGAGAAGGCCAGGCAACTCCCCCCTACCTGCACTCTCCATCTTAGCCTCTGAGCCAGGAAGGCCAGCCTCCCCATCCTCTGGAAGTCTAAGAGGCAGCCAGCAGGCACAGACCTACTTCCGTCCCTGAAGGGCCCAAAAAACCCAATGACCTGTCCCCAATCCAGGAGCCCAGGCTTATGCAACAGGGGTAGAATGGGAGAGTTGGCCCCTGCAGGGATGGTCACCTGAGTGGGGTAGTCAAAGGCTGGGTTCTTGTGACTCTGCCTGGGCTGGACTGGGGAGGTGAGGTTTCTTGGAGGATGCAGAGCTCGAACAGATGGAGAGGAGGACCTTTCCAGTTGGAGGCTAGGAGCCATGAACAGTCTCATGGGCAAGTCTGGGGAGGGCATGGCTGGCTGGACCAGGGTCAGTGTGTGGGGACATGGGTTGAAGTAGTCAGAGGCAACAGTGAGGTTTGTGGTCCTCCCTGACCTCGTTCCTTGTCCAGCCCTCTATTCTCCATGCCATGTGCACTGTCCTCTGAGGTCAGACAGGAAGGAGGGGAAAGCCCTGCCTTCTTACCTCTGGCCGTGGCCAAGCTCCCCTGGGGTTGCTGGGCAAGAGCTGTAGCCAGGGTTCCTCAAAAGAGGAGCTAAGATCCCAGGCTGGAAAGTCTGGTCTGAAGCTCCCTTCTCTCCCCCTCCCACTTTACCAGAGAGCAGCCCATCAACATCAACGTTCCCCCACTCCATGTGCGCCCCCCACCCAGCCCCCAACACAGCTGGTTCTTGTGGGTTTTGAGCTCTTGGGTGGCAGCCACTTAAGGCATGAGCAGGGCTATTATTCTCAGCAAAGTAGTGGCTCTCATCTTGGGTTCCATTTATTAATTGGATTCTAATGAACCGTCACTAATTGCTGATGGTGCTACACCGCTCCAGGTGGGCCTCGATTTAAGGAATCACAGACTCTGGAGCACTGGAGGCCAGCCAGCATGCCCCTGCACCCCTTCCAGCCCTATCCACGTCTGCGTGGCCGCTCCCCCTGCACTTTCTCGAAGGGGGTGTGGGCTGC